ACATATATATATATGGTATACACATATAAAAGTTTTATTTGTAAACTTTTATCTTAAATAGTAGTTCTTGAGATAAAATAATTAAGGTTTCAATATGACATATGGCCAATGACAGACCATGTTTTACTCACTTGAGTATTACGAAGCGCATTGAGAAGTGAAAACTTTCTTACTGCAATATTTTAACTCGCGAATTCTGGGTCATCCTATATATATCATATCATACCGACTGTCTTTAGTATTTGGCATTAACTGTGTTTTTATTAAATATAATTGACAAGCTTTTTAATTAATACGAAATAAAATCTTCATCAATAAAAATTTTTAAAGACGTCATATGTTGCAACTTCTCAATATTTTCGATATTAAACATCGTCGTAAATAAATAACGGATTGGAATCTTCTGCTAAAACATATATAACGTATGAAAGGAAAAGATTTATTTCCGTTAAAACCGTTACTATATAACATTCATGCTTAAATAAATTTTACAGTACGACGAAAAGAAAGCGATAAATTTGTCGAGTAATACAATGAGGTTGCTAGAAGACGTTCACGATTTGAGATATTTCGATGACTTGGTGAAGCTCTTAGAAGGAGAACTCGAGAGAATCTCCAGAAGAAATTGGCCATTTATTCTAGGTCACAGCAAGCCTCATGAAGAGATGAATCTAATCATTTGATTGTGATCTCAAAGATCGTCGTGGATCTAAAGTTCATGATCATGATCTCAAAGATAGTTGCGAATGGTCGGCGTGCAGGATAAAAGGATTTTCTTCAGGAAGAGGATGTCTCAACCTTCCTAAATGTTCATAAAGAGAAAGTACCTCATCTCTCTTTTGGCTCAATGACTTACATATCTTTCAAAATTATTAGTTCGGAATTATCAAAACGATACGTGTAGTAGATACTTTTTAAAGATTACCACATCGCGTGAATAATCTCCAAAAATAATCACAATTACAGTTAGCACAAAAAATTAAACTATAAATTTTGCGACATTTTAAAGCGAATGAAATAATCTCATTTCTTGGTAAAAAAAAATCGATTTCGTAATATTTTATCGAAATGAATCTCATGCAAATTATCATTTAAGACAAAGCAGCTTGTGATATATTCTGATAGATCTTATTTCTTATATTCGCTTTTATAGAATTTTCAATAAATGTCGAAATTTTTTTTTAAGTACTTGTGTTCACATATCAATATCCACAGAAATAGAGAACATATATATATATATATATATATATATATATATACATATGTATATTTATTTATTATTACTAAACAATTTATTATCTACAGGTCTCGTACATGTTTGAATCCGTATACATAGCACCGAGTAAAAAAATTCCTACAACATATCGTTGCTACTCGTCCCACTATTTTATCGCTATCTCGCCGCGTTTCAGCAATATTTTTAATGCCATTTTTAATACCCGTTAATTATCGTGTTAAATATCCGTACTTTTACAAGCAAAGTCTACACTTAGTGGTGTCTATTTAGTGTTTCGTTAATACTGTCAGCCTTAGTATCAATTTTTCTACGGAGCACGAAATTAGGTGACGTCCGTGCGTTGCATGTGTCTGACGTGCTGTCGAGAGGAATCGTGGTAGGCGATCCCCGCGCGCAACATTTCGCCGTGTCGGAACACATCGTGGGACGTAGAGAAGGATGGCAATGTGGGCAACGACGGCAACAGGCAGCTCAGCATACTGGGACCACCATCCGAGGAGTAAATCCCGTTGGTCGGAGGCACCATTGACGTGCTGCACGTAGCGGGAGTGGCTCCCGGCAATGTATGTCCGTTTTGATCGCCAGAGCCCAATAGGCTTGAACTTGTACCCATCAGGTTCCCTATAGGAATACCGAAAAAATCTATGTTTTATTAATATTGAAATAAAGTGACCTCGAGACTGTGATCGTTCATTTGCTACAACGACGCAATTAAAAAACATACTTTGCTCTCTAAGAAGTTATTCAGAAAATAAGTTTGAATATTGAATCATTAAAATTTTATGATATTAATTTTGAAGTAGTTTTTATATAATAACTGAAATTGCAAAAAATAGCGTATTATTTATAAATAATAAGCGTATATGAAATTATTAAAATTTTTAATTAATTATAAAATTAAGCTCTTGTGTTCGAATGAAAAAGGATGATAAAAGGCAGAAAATTTCAAACTGTTATAGAATGTTGATCGGTATTATTACGTTAATATTGATTTTTAAAAAAGACGAATACTTTATGAATAATAATTTGTAATTAATTAATTAGTGTCGAGAAAGAGAGAGAGAGAGAGAGAGAAAGAGAGAAAATCATGATTGCATGCCATCAATTCCTGAAATTCATTCTGTAAAAATTGGGTCAAAACAAGTTATTTCATTTGTATGTCTACATGCTTTTAGAAAACATTTGACAATTATTTATTATGACCATTTGAGAAAGTACAGTTTTAAATAAATACAAAATAAGAAGAGCTACGAGTCAACAAATAATTTTAAAGGTTTATTATCGATATGGAGGACAATAACAATGAGAAAGCAAAGATTTAATTTTAAATATGATTTTCGAATTGTGATACACGATGATTTTTAACGAAATTATAAGCAATTAAAATTCTTAAAATGCTCCTTTTATTTAATCGCGCGATATCTCTAATAAGAAATCTTAAAAATACTTTTTTTTTAAACCAATTTGTATAACAAATTTTAAGCTTTCACGTCACAATATCGAAAATTTTGACATTTTTTGGACACGTGATTCATAAAGTATAAAAAAAACAATATCAAATCTTATTGGACCGCGAGAGTTTTAAACTAAATACCGATGAGAACATGTCGTAATGGTCAAGCTTAATTAAGGTCTCGATAGTTTAAAGGACGCTTGCACGGAATGCCAGAGATTCGATTCCCGACCAAGGTAATATTTTACGTAAATTAATTATTTACAAATTTTAATATGTCATTCAATATTATTAAGATTCAATGCTCATGCTATGAGCATCAAAATTGTTAGATTGTTAGTCAATTTAACTCATGATAGTACTGTGGTAGTTTATTAGAGTTTGCGTTGTAAGTCTGAAAAAATTTTGGCGCGCATTTAAGAATCTACATACGTAATATATAAATTCACACGAAATTATATTAAAAGCATCCAAGATCCAGCTTGACTGTTATGGCATGTTCTCATTGGTATTTAGTGATAAAAAAAATCTCTTTTTTCTAGCTCGTAGTTTTTCCATAGAAAATATTCTGTAAGAATTACCAAACTCACAAAATAACATAATGACCTTTCAAAAGTAGAGATTTTAATATTTAACATTTTTTTTTTAATTTAAACTTTCAATTAATTTTGAACAAAGTTACAGCTGCTTGAATTTTGAAATTCATAGTGTTACGAACTTTTGTTCCAACTCCAATAATAGTAAACAATATCACGTTTTTGAATAAACACGAAACTTAACGTCACAAGGATTAATCACGATGGGATTTATTATATCCCATCGCAAATCCGGGCGCAATCGCGTTCTCGCAAAATATTGATAATTATCAGTGCTTATGATCGCGCGGTATAGAATTTATACTCACATAAAGAGGGACTTGTAATTCACGTGAATATGTTCGCGGTGTAACCGCTTTAGTGAAAGCGATAACGCATTCAGTGCATCCGTTAATCCTTCGACAATATCGCGCGTACATCGTATAATGCGCGTGAAGCGTAACATTAAAATTTTAATGCCATTGTGTAACATTTCTCCAATGGTTTACAACCAATGAGCTCATTAGCAGTAATTATTCTTTAAACACTCCATACACGGAGAGGAAAGAATCTTTATTCAGATAATTCTTTTTTCTTTATAATTGCATTCGAATACAGGAATTTACTCGAGATAAGTGAATGCTTATATACACATTTAACAAGCATTTATAAACGTTTAAAAGTAAAATATTCTTATTAAACGAAAATTGATCGAGAAATATTCAACACAAATAAGCGAAGAAGAACATATTCACTCAAAACAGATGTTGGTGTGATATTTTTTTGTGACTCTTACAATTTTTAGATCAAACAAACTGCGCGCCAATTAATTACTTGCCAATCTTAAAATACAGAAAAGCTTTAGTTTAGGACTGTTTTAAGATCGACAAGTAATCAACGCACAATTTACTTGAACTAAAAATTATTAGAGACTCACGCAAAAATATTACACTCTAGTTTACATTACAAATTTTTAATAATTTTTAGTACAAGAAAACGAAACAACTTTTTTTTAAACATATTTTGAGATATTAGGTTTAAATTTGTCGCCAGAAAAATTTTATGACATCGAATTTTTAAGAAATAACATAAATTTTAAGATATAGTGTGTCAATTTTTAATATAGCATTTTTTCCGAATAATTTGAATGCGACACAAGGCAAAATTAACACCAGGATTTGGTAATAATTGAGAAGGAATATTAGGATGAAAATATGCTAAGCAACTACTGTTGGATTTTAAATAATTATACGTGAAACCAAAGCTATTAAAAACAAAAATTATTTTCAATAAAACTTTACTAAGATATAAATCTAAAAATCGATCAATAGAAGTTCGATGACAAATTCAGACTCAAAATCTTGTAAACTAGTATAATTAGGCACCAACATTCGCTTTAAATAAATTTTATTTAATACAAATCGAAGTCTGTAACAGTCTAGCTGGATCTTAATTGCTTATATATAATTTCACGTAAATTTATATACTGATAATGTAGTCTTTCTAAACTGCGCGCCGAACAATTGTCAGTCTTGAAACGCAACTCTAATAAACTGCCGCGAATAAACTATCACGAATTAAATTAATTAACAATTTAATAATTATTTGATGCTCTTTTGGCAACTTATATCGATCTTTAACGACGTTAAAATCTGAAAATAAAAATTCTTATTGCGAAAAATATTATCTCAGCCGGGAGTTGAACCCGGATCGCTCGCTTTATGCGCAAGTGTCCTAGCCAGTTAGACTACTGAAACCTTAGTAATATTCCTCGCAATAACTGATATATGTAAAATGAGAAACATTTCAAACTTTATTTATTTGTGATTCTTGAAATTCGGCTAACTTGCGAATAACTTGCGGTTCACCTGAAAGACTGACGCTCGAGGCGGAACTGACGGACGAGGTAATGGATAGAGGTGTCACCATGGAAAAGTTAGAAGCCTCGGAGGATCTCGTGGCGAGGTGCGAGTCCAATCTAGCAGGGGGACGAACGCACGTCAAGGATGACAGACCGAAATCGCTAACTCTATCCGCCGCCGCAGCCGCCGCTGCCACCGCCGCACGCCGACGTCTCGCGTGTATCCCGGACTTGCTATTGTTGCCCAGACCGAAGTGCAGAAGCTCCAAGTGTCTTCTGAGATTTCTCGATTGACGCAAAATCGCACCGCACAACGGACAGGACACCGGCTGATCGGACAGACTGCGTGCTTTCGACAATCCGTCCCCTAGAACGAATTCGAAACTAGACAGACTTGAAACTAATCAGATAAGAACATTTCATATCAGACATGTCTCTAGCGTAGGTATCGATAATCGAATCTAATATACAAAAATAAATGGAATAATCGAAGGACTTACTGCAACAGTGAATTAAATCCGCATTTTTTACTGAGTGAATCAGTTAATTAACTTTAAAATTAAAGTGATAGGAAAAATATGTTGTGAAATTAATCCACATACGATATCTATTGGAATTTCTCCCATCACTTTAACTTATAGAGTTCATTTACTCCATTTTTACAAAATGTGGATTAGCCTAAACTGTTTACTGTTGCAATAAACTCTTCAAATCAGGTGGCTCGTAAATAACGTCAAGATCTTGTTTTGTGGAAAATAACACAGTCATGTACTTTATTTGCGCTTTATTGAAAAAGAAAAATTGGATAGTACATCGCTATATCCGTTATTTTATTTCTTTCTCAATTAAAGTACTAGTGGTTTTGTGTATGTACTATTGTCAACAGTCCACGTACGCAGCAGAGTTTGCCATTACAAAATAGGAATGTGCGTCGATTAATTTTCACTCTGTGGCTGTTGCAAGTCCTTGATTTCATTAGAAAATGGTATTCGTAAACGGTAGCCCGTATTCTTAAAAACATACTACTATTAGACCATTCTATTATAAGGGAAGAAATTAAAAGGGCAGTAAAAATGAACTACAGTGGACGAAGTTCAATTGCACTATCGCACGAAACCCCGATTATTATGTAAGTCCCAATGGTAAAAGAATAATGATAATTTTCACGATAGATTTCATTCATTATGCTTAATCTTCATCATTTATAATCCTACTGTACTATCTTATATCCTAAGATGGAAGATTCTCGTATAAAACTAAACGCGCAAATATACTCCGAATTTTTTATCTAATTAAATAACGTTTACGTCAATAATTACAGATAACCGTCCGCTTTCGTTAATATATGTATGTAACTACATAATGCAAAATATCTTATCACTCCTCTGTTTTTACTGTCGCACCCACTCATCACGATCTTGAGTGTCGCATCACTATAACACAATTGACAACCGAAAGAAATCCGCAAAAAAATTAACTATAAAACGGACAATGCATTCGTCTCTCGATATTCCCGGTGAGTCCTTGCATTTATCTGGCGATCGTCGGCGACGGGATGCTCCTCGGCGATGATATCACGCTTTCAGGTTCATGCGACGTTGGCGAGGGTAAGGTAGGATTGCAGACTATCTGTTCGTAGTCGTTACTACCGTCGGTCCCATACGTTATCGACGATTGATCGTTGTAACCCTCAATCTCAGGCTTAATCTCTACTGTTGCCGCGTCAGAGTTATGCGTCGTCATCGTTACTGCATTCGTCGCCGAGTGGTTGAACCGATATTTGCACGAGGACAATAGGTGCCTGCGAAGATTCCTCGCCTGACGTAAGGTCGCACCGCAAAGCGGACAAACACCCGGGCAGTCGGAGGCGCCACGCGTTTTTGATTGATTCGTGCCGGTCGATGCTGTCTGAGTAGACGCCAAGCCGGATAACGCTAGACCAGGTGGATAACCCATGTTGAGGGAACTGTGGAACTGCGGTATTTGCAATTGCAATGGCATCAGTGTATGCAGGTGCGACTCGTCGTCCGCACCGTGATCCTGATGCATCGCCTGATGATTGTCCGCGATGGACGATTCTTGAAGTCGCGGTGAATGACTGCCACCCTGATGGTTGTTCGCGTAGTTTCCGGCCAGGCAGTTACCCGCTGTTAACAGACACAAACACAATGTTACCATACGGGGCTGAACTGACGTTGCTTTGGGTTACTTTGAATTTGTTTCCCCTCTCACGCTCTCTCTCTCTCTCTTTCGCTCTCGCTCTTTCGCTCTCGCTCTCACGGTTCAGACGAATCGGAGGACGACCAATCAGAAATGCAGTTCAACCCGATCGATGGTTGTGCTTGTGTCCGTTTTAATTGAAAAACGAAAAAAAGGCCTACGTAGATGTACGAAATCTCCCGCAGGTGGTATAATTTTTGATAGTTTTTAGACGACTACTATGCTAAACGTAATACACCGGACACAAAACACAAGTGGAATTGCCATTTCATTATATTTCTGTCTTGCATGCTTAATTATAAACTTGTAGTTATCAGAATTAATTAAAAAATTGTGATAAGCATAAAAATCTCTAAATAACAAAATAAGGAAAAACTATCTAACAAATCACACTACACAGAAAACAGATAAGTGTTTTCGTTACAGTATTTTACTATAAAATATTTTAAAACTATTACAAAATCTGCTACATAGCTAATCTTGTTTCTCATTTTAAAAATAAATTATTTAATCCAGCAGGAGATGTAACATCTTTCCAAAATTCTTTACATTACCTGTATCATCAGTTTGATCCATGGCGTCGTCATCCTTGTTTTCGTAAGGCATTGTTTTGTTGTTGTCTTCCAAAGACTTGCTTTCACTGTCAGCAGTGCTTCTAGTACATTGCCACTTTCCAGAGGATGACGACGACTTCCTCCTTTTTTTTCTTCGTTTCAGTGGATGCGAGTTGACTGTTGGCCTCGACAATTCATCGTTGTTCGTCGCCGTTGGTATCGCAGACTCAGGAACTTTTTCTCCACTCTAAATGTACAATCACGTACACATATTGCATTTAGATTATAATAACTCTATTTTTATTTAAGTACAAAAAAATGAGATGTATCAAAAATATACCTCCGTTAGTATATTGGTTGACGATGTCAATCCGTGAATGCTCAAACAATGGGCAGCCTGAAGCAAGGAAGGCAATTGTGCCGGCTCGACGCTCACTTCTCCTCGGTATACGAATTCCAGCAAAGACTCCAAGTCATCCGCCCCGATTCCTGCCAACATAACCACTGGATGCTGGCATGGAGTGCTCTGTGAACAATGTAATTGTTGTAAGTTTCTATATGATGTTACGTACTAAAGTAATACTTAATGTAACTTAAAGTAACACACATTACACTTTAATACATATTAAAAACTGCTGTATGTAAAATAAATGAAGTAGCATAATATAATGAACTTTGACAATAAAATAATACATATATATTCTATTAAATAATGTGATAATATCATTATTAAGTAGTTAATCTTTTAAAATATTTATATAATTTTACATTTAACTTTGTTAGTTTTATAATAGCTTTTAATATGTGTGCACTTAAAGATTAAAAATTGAGCCACAATTCTTCAAGACTGGCTCAATTTTCATTCCTTAAAGTGAGATTTCATCCTAAAATTTAGAGAGTGTGCTTAAAACAGTCTAAAATGTAGTAATTATATCTTGTAGTTAAAACAATCTTAAATAAGAATTGACTATAAATACTGGTCTTAAAGTCTTATTGGAAAGATGACACAACCTTTAATAAATCCAAGAGGAACGGACTAGCTGCACAAAGAACAATTTTGTGTGCAGGAAAGCTGCGTCCGCCAGCAGCCAAGGTAACATCTACCAAATCGCCATCTCCCCTCAATAGTTGTACTGCAGAGGCCAGAGAAGAACTGAACTCTCCCCAGGACAGACTATAGAGTTGTCCGTTGCTACCCATTCCGTCCCTAAGAGCTTAACTGCAAAATAATAAAACATAAAAATACAATCACTTCATTTTTTATCAAACAGATCTACAAAGTCAGAACATATAAAAAATAAACATCAACAGCTGATCCAATAAAGTAACAAAATAAAATGGGTTTGAACCAACCTGAGTTGGAGGGGGAGACTAATGATGTTACATGCTCAGCATACCATATATCATTAATTTAACCCAGATCAATTCAAACCTACTGCAATCAAAGACACTAACGGATGGCAGTAGGTCTGCTCTTTTATTCCTACATTACAACTTTCTTATTATCGCCAAAGCTGCAATTTGAGCGCTTAAGTGTTGTAAGCTTCGTTCTATCTTTAATCACTTATTACATGTGAAAGGAAAATAGAATGAAGCTTACAGCATGTGAACATCCAAACCGAGTCCAAAACTCAAATATCAAACGTGTACCTACTTCACTCTAAGTTCCAAAAGTAGAAGGACACTAGTTTAGCTATAGAAAATAGATTATATTATAGTATAATACAATGAATCATTATGACTACTCTCTTTTTAGGAGACGCAAGTTTATTTATTTATTGTCAAAAGACTAAAACAATAAATTAACTAACATAAATACTATCTAATTTTCGACTCTTCAAATTAATACTCGAGCAAGAATCAGTGTAGTTTCATAGTATACAATGATTAATAGGCAATTGGAGTATAAGTGCTACATATGTAGTTTGCTAATAATCTTTTAATATCTGTGTAAATCATACAAACTTTAGGACGTTTTGATTATTGCTTATAGCCATTTTTAACTATAATTATATATATATATATATATATTTTAATTTAAAAAACTAAGGTGCATTAATCCTTAACTATCGAACTATTAGCAAATAAACTAAATTTAACACTCTTAGACTCCAATTGCGTATTAATCGTTATATACTATGAAACTACACTGTTCTTGCTTGAGGACTAAAATAATGTTTGTATCTACCATGTCTCCAAGAAAAGCTGTCTATAATTAACATCAGTATAATGATAACAAATCATACTCTGGATACAAAGTGCCAGCTCTATCACAAGAAAAAAAAGTAAATCATTACATCATTGTTGTTTACCAATATTGAACGAAGATGAAATAATTCACAATATTAGGTCTGTTTTCTAAACTAGTGTACGCTTTTGGAACCTAAAGTGAGACAGGTAAAGATTTGATATTTAGAGAGAAAAAAAGAAAGTTCAAGTATACGTTTCTAGAGCTGGAATAAAAACATACCTACTGTGTCAGCTATTTCTCGCTGGAAAACAGTCTAGATTGTTTAGAATTATTCTATAGACTATTCTAGAATAAAATTAAGACAGCTGACGATAGGTACACAATGGATGAAAAAACCGTGGATGGCGAGGTGCTACCATAAAAAAACAATCCAGGAAACCGGCTTCAGGTATCACTCCCGATATCTCCAAGATTAAACGTGAAGCACGCGTTGTAGACAACAATCCTGACGCTGACTAACGGTAACGACGCGCACGATCTTTTTCTCTCTTCTCCTCTCTCTCTCTCTCCTTTCTCTCTCTCTCTCTCCTCTCCCTCCCTCTCTCTCTCTCTCTCTCTCTCTCTCTCTATGTCTTTCTCCATCCCCGTTTCCTAATTAATGCCCCCACCCGATAAAGCGTCGCGGCGTCGTACCGTAAGTTAACCTAACAAAAATGGAACTTCGCTACCTACGTGACGACGGAGACCTCCTCTCACGAACGTTGTCGGCGACGAAAACGGGGTCGACGTGGCGAATCGCGCCCGTTTGTTTTCTCAAAGCCGGGTGATCACGTGTGCCACCGCAACCAGGTCTGGAGAAAGTCGTGGTCGCACGATGGTCACCTGGGCATGAACTCTCGCGCGTTGTCGGACGACGCGGACGTCCTCAAAACGTGCGTGTCGCACGCATCGGTAACTGCGTGTTACGCGGCACCTTTGATGATGATCGGTCGTCGACGTCGTTGTCCGTTGGCGAATCTCGACGCGGCACGCGGTATACTCTCTGTCTCTCGCGCAGGCAAAATTCAAACCCTATCGCAGGAGCGATCACGTATATACGACATGCGTGTGTGCATCATGTAATGTACAGTGCATAAACGTCACGCGTCACGGCGCGTTGCAGTGTTGCACCTTGCACGATGTAGCGTCGCGGTGCTGCCGTCATACGGCCAACGAGCAAAGTGCTGTCGGAAGTCAGCAAAAGGGCGCGAATTAGAATTTAAATTCAATTCAACGTCACCGAAGGGTCGATTTCAAAACTTGACTTATCAAATAATATATCTTAAGCGGTATCTATGTATAGTACAATAGACACTTTTCATTTTGCAGCACGAGGATTATTGTTTCTATCGTGTTATCTTCTCTCTGAATGCCAAGAAAGATAAGATGATATTTGCGTTGATTTGTGTTACTAGTGAAAAGTTCTTCAATGTGATATCAAACTGATATCAGGAATATGATGTCAAAAAGTAATCAAAATTATGACAAAATTATGACTATATGACTGCAAAACGTCCCACACCATGACGGTGATCTTGACTGTCATTTTGATGTTTGTTTAATATATTAACAATCATCCAGTAAAAAATTAAGCTGTTATTTATATTATTATATTAATGTACAAATGACATCCTAAATGTCAAAATACCGTCAACATAATGTCAAAATGACGATAGTATAACGCCAGCTTATTTCCTGAGAAACTCTGTAAAGAAATAAATAAAAGACTAATCTCTCTGTACTAATGCAGATTTACTTTAATTTTTGGCATAGTGTACTCTAACATTTCTAATTCTTTGAATTATGATAAGAGAAGATAAAAAGTATGTTAAACTGCAAGATTAAGATTAATCTACGTTATTATTATTAATAGAACGTCCATTAATCATACGATGTTATATTTATGTACAAGATTAACTTGATTTTTAAATCTAAAAGTAAATAACATTTGAAAGGGAGTATAAAATAACTGTATTATTATGTTGCATAGGAATTGTTATTAATATTAATTATGTGTGAATACAATACTTGAAATAAAAGTGTATCTGTTATAGAAAATATCAAATATATTATAATTGGGGGGAATATATACATGTTGTAGTATATTAAATCAAATAATCAATTATGACAATGAAATAATTCAAATAATATATGCATATTTTATTAAATAACGTGATATTATTATTACTAAAAGTATTTAATTGATTACAATACGTTATTATGTATTTTTACATTTACATATTATATTTTTACTATATACTTGCATATAATAGTTTTTAGCATGGACTGATCCTGAAAGCAAAACCTGCGGAAACAGATTTGGAGCAAAGCCTGCTGACAATTTTATATTGCACATTGGCAACAAATTGTAGACAGAGTCTGTATTATCAGATATTGTCAGCAAACTGCTGCTAAACTGCTGACATGTCTTGCCAGCAGATTGGTAGCAAAAACCGAGCAGAGTCTGCTGACATGATCTGACAGCAGATTGCATGAGCAGAGCCTACTGGCAGAACTTGACGACAGACTGGCAGCAGAAACCGCGCAAGATTTGACACTTTCATTCATGGCCCCGCCACGAGATGGACTTGCTTCTCGTAAGAAGAAAACGTTCAGGAGTCTTTATAAGAATTGATGTAGAGAAATAGAATAGATAAACTCCTAGATATTTCCACACTTTCGGAATGTGCTTTCTAAAAATGTCCGAAAATTGTTGATTATTTTATAACTTTCTCGTGTGCATTTTAAAATGTGAAGCTATATAATCAAATCAATATAATTTAGCAACAAAAAATAAAACTGTATTGATTAGTTTTAACAGTATATACATACACATAATTATGTATATATCTATATATATAACCGATCAGAGTCTATGCTTAACCATTTAAAATTTAAATGCCCATTCGAATAGCGATTCGAAAGGGCATTTAAATTTTAAATGGTTAAGCGTAGGCTCTGCTCGATTTCTGCCGTCAAGCTGGCTATTCTGTCAGTAGGACATTTCGATTATCCACGCTCCTCCTCGTTCGATCAGACACATTCCTATCTTTTTGCTTCTGAACGATTCAAAACTTTTCTCTGGTCGCGCTCTCTCCTGCCTCTGTTCCTCGGAGGAAGGAGGCAGGAAAAGACATAAATACGTGGCGCGTGAAAGTGATCGCTGAGACAACGTAATCGGGCTGTTTGTTCGCTGGTGCGCGTGGCAATAGCGCGAGCGCGCATGCGCTACCACGTACCACCGTTGTGACTTGCGATTGATAACACTTCGCCAACGGGACTGACCGACGCTCGTTATTATATACCTTGGCCCCCGTCCTTCATCAGCCTTCATCCAACTTCTGTGCCTTCCAAACAGCGTGTCTCGTTCTCTCTCTCTCTCTCTTTCTTCCATTCTCTCTCGCTTTCTTCCTCTCTTTTGTTGGGCGCATATATACACGTTGCGTGTCAGTGTATGTGTGCATTTTGTCGTTGAGCGCCTTTATACGTTTTCACCGCGATGTCGTCCGGTAATTGGGAACTGGTCAGCAGGAAGAAGGACAAGAACAACGACAAGTCGAACAAGCTCACGAAGACTGAGAAGAAGAAATTCATTGAGAACGCACCGAAAGTCGAGGATTTCTGTAAGTCGCCTCTGTCATAATCTACCCACTTTCCACCTCAAAGGCCTCATAGCTTATGCTCCAATTCTCCGTGACTTCGTCGATTTGCTATCGACGATGTATCAGCTGAGAGAACGATGCGAGCTCAGTGCACCTGATTTGCTTCAATCGCTAGAATATATTATATAAAGAATAGGTCGCACAATATGGTACTATAATATGTGTCTTTTGCGACACTCATTCTGCAATTGCTCCTTTTTGTCACAAAATGTTTGACACAGAATACGTCATAATAAATCCTTTTGGAGTTGTCTTGCAAGATATAGCTCTAAAATATTGTATAATTCAACTTAGAACTCTTGTACTTTAAGATAATCAGTCTACAATTATTCCTTTTTTATCACATAAATACTTCTTTTACTATGATAAATTATCCTTTTGGAGTTGTCTAGATAAGACTTGCTCCAGAGGACAATTTATCTCAAATTTAATTTGGAGTCTTATACTTAAGATACTCATTTTGCAATTGCTCCTCTTTATCATACAATGTTATAGAGATACTCATCATGATATGCTAAATTATTATTTTAGAGTTGTCTCGCTAGATAGGCAAACAAAAATTCTTCTCCAAAGGATAATTTATCCCAAATTTAATTTGGAGTCTTATACTTTGCCATACTTATTTTATAATTGCTCTTTTTGCTACAGAATAATAGAGAAATACTTGTCATGATATGATATAAACTATCTTTTTATATGAAATTGTTTTATAAAATACTCCAAACAATAATTTACCTCAAACTTAGAGCCATTTCGTGAACAAGCATCTTGTTAGTCTTTTTATTCAAGATTTTGTTAATTCTTTATCAAGGAAATTGTATATCTAACTTATATATACATATAATTTTAGTACCATTGAGTCAGGTGAAGACGCTGTACGATAATCTAGATGGAAACAAGGAGAATAAGAAGCCTGCCAAAGTGCAAGGGAAAGAACATAAGACAAAGGAGAATGAAGAGAAGAAAAAGCAACATCAGAAACAGCAGCAGCATGTTGAGAAAAAGAAATCTGAGCCAAAGGAAAAACCTCCAAAAACTATCAAAGATGCATTGAACGCAGTAAGATCACTTTTAATTTAGAATAAAATTTGGAATCATATTTGCACTATTATTGTATCTTTTTATTGTATATATATTTATTTTTTTATACATATTATATTAATTTAGAAAAAATATTTCCATTAAAAATTAATTCTATTCTATTTTAAATTATTTGAATTATATGCTAATAATTACTTTTTTTTTACATATAGATTGACCCACAAGAACTCGATGAACTTTTGATCACTGCACAAGTCAGATTTCCCGAGGCTCCCCTGCTCTGGCTGAAGGAGCTCAATGCTTTCCTCAACATCAAGATTTCCATCAACAAGGAAGATGCGATATTCTCAGGGAAACCCAAGGATTATCCGTTAAATTTAGTACCTAAAGAGATCTCTTCCATACTAGAACGAGCAGTGGAGATGACGGGTCAGCAAACCATACAAATTTTTTATGAGAACACTCTCACGGCAATGGCCACTGATATGGTTAAAGGAATTCCTGTTATCGGTCACAAGATATTTTTGCAGTTGCTAGCGCACTTAAATCCCGAAATGACCGCCGCCAACATTCCCAAATTGATTAACATAAGGAATTCCTATGAGAACAGGAAGAACGTTGGTTTGTCTCTGTTATGGGCTTGGTCGCAAGCCGGCAAGAAGAATTTTGCAGTCGGCTTGAAAATTTGGTACGAGATAATGTCGCCAATGCTGGAGACAAAGGGCTATACGAGTTACGTTGTGCAAATTCTTAACGATCTCGTCTTCGGACACGAAAATGTCCATGATCTTAGTCTAGATCTGTACTTGAATATTATCATGGATACCTATTCTCAAAAGTATCAAAATATTCAATCTGCACTGGTAGAACAACTTAGTGCGGCTATCGATAGGTTGAGAGTAAGTAATACACGAATTTTAAGCGTGTCTCACATATTTTAGTTAACTCTAGGTACACTTTTTTTTATATTCATTATTGCTATATCCGGATCTATGAGATTCCATTAGTCCTTTCATTATAAATCTCGAAAAATGGATTAACCTTTTTTAATCGTAAATGAATTTAAAAAATACATTTATTCATTTTAAAATAATTCAAAATCATAATAAATATTTAAAAACATAATCTCTATTTATTAATGTTACAATAATAAGATTTTGAAATTTCATTGAGTTTTAATTACCTCAGAGTATACCAAGTCTTTATAAAACTTTTAGTACGCTAATTTTGGATACGCTTGATATATACCTAAGGTTTTATAAAAATGATATATAATGCATGTACGATTTGGCGATGCGATTTGAGATCAATATGCTAAAATTTTTTACAGTCAATGTTATTTAG